TATTCATGCTCAGATGCCGAGGAGCTCAGAAGGTGGGTGACTGTGACCAGTGATAGTCATGTATATAGAGATTGGAAATGCATGTGAAAACTTCTCAATGTCAAGAGCCCTGGAATGAATTTTTCTGTATGAAACTGTGTGTTTTGACAACGAAGTGGAGATCTTTTTTAAACGTTGGAACCTTATTTAATTTTATGTCTTATAGAGTTTATAATGAGTAAAAGATTATATAAGCGTAATAATTCATCTGTAAACCTAGAAATGTACAGCCAATTTTGAAAGAGATGTACCCTAGCTCAGAAAAATGTTATTGAATAGGTTAATGCTGTTGTAATGAAATGCTTCTTCTAATTAAAAAAAAAAAGAAATGAGTTATAAATGACTGAAAATGTGGAGCCAACTAGGTCAAGGAGATTTCATGAGAGAGGACTGATGCCCAAAAGGAGTTTCAAGGACTTCTTGAAAGTGCCCTACAAGAGAAAGAGTTGGCTTAAACTATGGCTAGGTGCACACAACAGGAAGTTAGGTCACAACAAGCCAGTTGTAAGGAGGTAAGATCTGTCCCACCCCTTCACTTCTAATTTACCTTTACTGGAATTCAAATGAGCCCATAAGAAGGGAAGCACAACGTAGAGAACAGAGGACTTCCCCTTTCACCAATGCAGACCTCTAGCCTGATGTAGGCTCAAGTTGAGGAGGGAAGATTGAAATTAAATAAAGTTCACCATTTTCATTAATGTCTTGGAATGAACACTGTAAGTTTTGACTTAAACTGTATTTATGATATAAAGTGACTGCAGGTCTGTTTATTAAATGAGTAAAAAGCCAGGGGTGTGTGGTGCAGGTCTATAACCCCAGTGCTTAGGAAGCAAAAGCAGAGGACTGGAAGTAGAAGACGAGTTGGGGCTACATGAGACCCTATCTCAGAAACCTAGAAAAAGTAAACAATAAACTCACAGGGCTTATCAGAATTTCATGAAGAAATAGGGGAAATTTACCCCTAATATTAAACAGTTTAAAAGGAATAATGGGGAATTAAAAGTAAAATTGTGTTTTGATCATTGTTGGTAATGCTTCATCAATATATTGGCTATATAAACAAATAAGCCTTTGGATAACTACTGGTGCCATGTGGGATTTGAGATGGAAAATGAAAAAAGATTCTTAGAAAAGTACTACATGGTATTAATTATCCATTCATAGCCGTTTTAAGGTACCTGAAATTATCTTCTTCATTTGCTAATTTATTTCTCTGTGGAAGGAAAGTTACTTGAAACAGTAAGACAATTCAGAGTACAGACCTCTGCTTTGTTATTTGTTATGTCACCAGTACTTAGCGAAGTAGGTACTCAATAGACACATAGGTAGAAGAAAGAGCACAAGCTAGCTCACACCTGGGTAGAGGTTGTACACTGCCATTTTATATTCCTCTTTTTTCCTTATGGTGAACACATGTCCACTGAAATGAACAGATTGAATGTTCTCATTGTTGCCCATGTTGAGTAGATACCATCGAATTCTCTGACCCTGAGCCATTACTAAGCCTGGTAGTGTATCCATCACATAACCATTGATTGCTGGAGAAGAAGAACACAGAACACAGAGAAAGTTAACAAAATCTATTGTAGAAGTTTCCTTCCTTCTCCATTGAAAATACTGATACACACCAGGATTCTACTTCTACACATTACTCTTATTACTGTTCAAGTCTCTGGCTCAAGGCTCATTTGAAAAAGTGCATGCTGCATTTCACAGAGAATAGTATTTGTACATAGGTTATGTTACCATGGAAGCGATAATTCTCTTTGAAAGTGGGGTCTTCTCTCTGAATTTTGCAGGGTGCCTTGCAGTTCCTTTCCATGTTTTCAATGAAGTACCAGCTTTTGGTCTCATCAAAGATAGTGAAAAACAGAGCAAATTCTTGCACTGTCACTTGTCTTCCATGAGCAGAGCTCAGGGTGTTTGTGTGGCAGATCAGAAGGGGTCCAATCAAGCCTGAGTGCACATCTCTTTCCTACGGTGGGAAGACATCATTTGGGTTAGTGTAAGTTCTCTCTTAGCACCTTGTATGCCAATATAACCTGCCCCCCCATCTTCTCACAGTACCAGTTATCCTCTGCAGTAGATTCCAGAGTTAGATTTTGAGCATTCAAATATGGTATCACCTCCCTTACTTAAAACTTCTCATTGTGCTTAGGATAAACACCAAAATTTTTAGCATATACAAGATAAAGAACATTTCTTTTAAAGAAGAATGTGGCTTTTCCAATGAAGACCTGCTTACAAAATCAACATCAGAAAAATAAGCCCAGGCCTTGCAGTCAAACTCATCTTCAGTGGGTGCCATATGATGTTGCACTTTCCAAAAGTATGTTTTGATCTCATTAGGCTTAACAAAGTTTCTTCTAGGTTCTTCTCTTTGCCTCTGATCTTCCTTATAAGAAATGATGCTAGAATAGAAGGAGTAGGGACGAGAGGCCTGGTTTTTGAAAGTTACCTGCAGAGGAAAAAAAAATCAAGAATCATATTTTAGAAAATTAAAATCCTTACCTCAAGTTTTTGTATCTATATCCCTCTATCTTTTGTCTTTTCCAAGTTTTAATATCCTGGATTAAGTGGAAAAGGATGAATGCTGTTAGAACCCAAATCTAAAGAAGGGAATTATGAGGAATTTTTGAATTATATTTATAACATGAAAATTACAATGGAGAAAATTGCTAAACACTTAAAAGTAATTCCAAAGTAAAAGACAAAATGTCACTAAGGATTTGCTACTTAAGGTTCTTCATAATAAATTCCAAGATGGATGCATATTATCTTTTAATTTTAATTAATTAATTAATTTTAATGTACATTTTAATTGAATTTTTGTGCATTTCATATGAAACATCTTAGTCATCTTTATACCCCCTCCTCCATCTGTACCTCCTCATACCTGCCACCAGATTTCATGCAGGGATTCCCCTGGAACTGCAGTTAAGGACAGTTCGGTTCATAGCCACTGTGTGGGTGCTGGGAATCGAACCTGGGTCCTCTGCAAGAGCAGTCAGTGCTCTTAACTGCTGAGCCACCTCTCCAGCCCCCCTACAATAAATCTTAATCATATTTAGAACCCTCCCTCACCCAAACCCTACCATGCTCCCCCCACCAGATTTCATGCATTCTGTCATATATGTTAAAGCCTATATGTTAAAGTCAAGCTTTTTTACCCAGATGTCCCTCAGTGCAAGTTCATCCACCAGAGTCTAGTCAGCCTGTCTAGAGTCAGTTGATCTTTAAAGAAGATCAACTATCCCCCATCAGTAGTAATCAATTGCTACTAGTTCCTCGGCTAAGGTTGGGGACTGATAACCATTTCCCTAGTTCTTTGCTGGGTTTTTGTCTGATTGAGTTTGCTGCAAATTCACATGAACAAGGTCCCAGATGCCTAGAAAACTCTGTTTCCTTATGTTCATGCACCAACCCTGGCTCTTACAATCTTTCTGCCCTGCTCTTCCACAGTGGTCCCTGAGTCATGGGTGGGTGACGTTTAATATGATTAATTAATTTTTAAAATATTTTACTTATTACTTTATTTTATGTATGTGAGTGCTCTGTCTGCATGTACCTAATTGCACCCATGTTGTGCAATGCCTGAAGATGCCAGAAAGGGGCGTTAACTCCCTGGAACTGGAGTTTTGAATGGTTACTAGCCACCATGTGAATGTTGGAATCCATCCCTGGTCCTCTGCAAGAGTAGCCAGTGCTCTTAACTACTGAGCCACCTATCCAGCCCCCATATTATCTTTTAAAAAAAACTTATTTTTTAGATTTAAAAACTCTTGCAATATAAAAAAAAATTCAAGTAAAAAAATAATGCACCTACAATCCCATAGCTAGTCAGTCAACTGGGTAAATGAATGGATGTTTTTGGAATAAAAACAACAATATTTCTCTCATTTTTTTAACTGAAAAACTTTATTGAGAATTTCATACATGCATATAAGGTGTTTTGATCAAATCAATGCCCACTCTCTCCCCTCCAACACCTCCCATACCTCCCCATCATTTTTTTCTGACAACTTCGTCTTTCTTTCTTTCTTTCTTTCTTTCTTTCTTTCTTTCTTTCTTTCTTTCTTTCTTTCTTTCTTTCTTTCTTTCTTTCTTTCTTGTGTGTGTATATGTGGGTGTTTTGCCTGCATGTACGTAGGTTTACCTCTTTCTTTCTTTTTCTTTCTTTTTCTTTCTTTTCTTTTAAATGGGGATTTTTGCTACTCTAACATTCCCCCCTCTGAAGAGGTAACCCTAAAATCTTTTAGGGATTAGATAAGAGCTCCCAAGTACTTTTGACACTTTTGGCCTTTGGAGCAGAGTATGTTGCTAAGGGGCCCAAGGACATTGTGAGTTTTAGCCAAGAAACTGGCTACTTTTCTTTGGGGTCTTTTTCACCCTAACTGCCTAGCCAATTCCTACCTCCTATTCTTGTCACATCATCCTCTGAAGAAGTTACATAAATTGTCAATAGGGAATGGGGACGCAGACCACTGTGGCTTCTTCCTTGCTGAACAGGGACACAGGGTGAGGCAACTGGGGTACCCCTTCAGTGGGTCTATCTAAAAGATTCCCAAATTACATAACTCTTATCTTTAGGGAGAAAAGAAAGTCCTTGACTGGTGACTAGGGAATGTGAAGGAGTAGTCAAGGCAAGAGTAGTTAGCATATTAAGTTCTACATAGTGAACCAGAAAAAAGTCAGAACAGGGCAAATTTCAAATGTTCATATCAGAGTCCATTGGGATTTCTTGACAGGGGCTACTGAAAGCATCCCTCTATTGGGTTCCTCCTCATTTTTCTTTTGTCTGCCAAGGCTGGACTCGAGAGTGATGGACTCAGGATTTGTTTTCAGGTACTTTGATAGCTGTAGGAGCGGTTAGAATCAGTGTCAGTTCCCTCTCAAAGGCTTCATCACGTGGGGACAGGATTCAGGCGCTCTCAGGCGGTTCCCTGAATTCTCAGCCCCTATGCTGGAGGGAGGCCAGGACAGGCCAGTACTTCTCTTAAAATGCACCAGAATAATGAGCTTACAGAAATTATTGATAGATTAAATGATTAAATGTAAAACGTGAGCTATAAAAGGAAATGCTTAAAATTTTCCTGGGTAGAGAGGAAATTTTTTTTAAAATAAAGATTTATTTATTTTCCTTTGTACAAGTGTTTGGATTGCCTGTATGTATACTGGTACGTGTGTAGAGCCCACAAAGCCTGCAAGAGGTCAACAGAACCTCCATATGGGTCCTGGAAATGGAATCTGGGTCCTCTGGAAGAACAGCAAGGACTCTTAACCGCAGAGCCACCCTCCAGCCTCAGAGGAATTTTTATGAATACGAAATCAATGAAAATGTCAAAGAGGAAGTTTTATGAGTTACTACCTAGAAAACCTATTTATTTTTATTTTATTTTATTATTTTTTTGCATGCATAAGGCCAAGTAGATGAGCCTGTGCTGGAGAACATTTGGGGATTCAAGTTAGACTCTATAGGCTTTATTACCCAGACAGAAACCTATTTTATTTTTAAAACTCATATAAAATTAAGAGACAGAAAACTTGGCAAATACTTTTAATTAAAATTATCAATGGTTACTATCTAATATATAAGGTAATATTAATAAAATTTCCCCCTGTAAAAAGACTCTCCTTCATTCTTTTTGTTCCAGGCCTTTCACGCAGTGACACAAGATTGTCATCTATAAAGTTCACACTGAAGAACTATACAATTGAGGCACAGAAAATGCAAAAAATAACTTTTTAAGTAAATTCGTAATTTTGTATTGGGACATCTCTATCTATACTTGACTGCATGTGGCTTCTGGGCTGTGGGTTTTGCAGGCAGTTTTGCTTTTACTTTCATGTCATATATACAAATATTTTTTAATTAAAAAAACAGTGACTTTTATTATGTATGAATTACATCTCAATGAAAAAATATAAAAATCTGATAGAGATGACTTTGTGTCCAGGACTGATAACTGATAAAAGGTTAATGTGACAATCTTCTCACCAACATCTGGCTTAGCTCAGGTTGACCCTCCCTCCAAATACTACAGAATGAATTTTCTCAGAGTGCAAGGATTTCTGCTTGGTTCTCAGCTCCGGTTCCAGCAGACTACCCTCCAAGGCATGCAGGAGAGGTAGCCAAATATTATTTTTATAATCAGAAACAAACTAAATATATGGAACGAATTGTTTTTGTAAATCCATTGTCCTTAACTTACCATGATGTTGTCTTCAACTTCTGCTCTTATATATGGCCCCAAGAGCCCCAAGTGTTCATTAAGTTCTCCACGGTATAAGGGTTGACTAAAAGAACCATCAGTAAACTCCTGAAAAACGACTTTCTTGAACTGAGGGGCATTGCCACTGTGATCCCTGTAGAAAAAGCAGAAGAAAATAAGGACACTCCCTGATGGACCCATAAGGAAGAATGCCTCTCACCTTTGTGTTCCCTGTATTTGAGGTACATTTAGTAAAATTGATGATAGATGAATGAAATGGTGCAGGGAGGAAAGAAATAGAGAGTAAAGACAATTTTCAGGTGTTGGGGTTGTTCAGTTGTTATGGGGTAACTCCATTTAAACTCTTTTTATATGTACATATGTATGTATTTTAAGAAGTTTATACAGTAGTAGGTTTCCATATGACTTTTTCAAAAGGCCTTTAGTGTTAGTTATTCCTCCCCATATTTCCTCCTCTACCCTGTCCTTAAGTAACCAAACACTTTCTGATTATTTAAGGCCTGCTTACAAGATGGAGCCTATACCTGGCACTATCAAGGCCAAGAACCTGTGGTTAGACAGCTCACAGGCCGTAGGGGAGAATCTACTACTATTCTTCTAAATAGACATAGTGTTAAATTGACTCCTAATGACTTATTGTTATACCCATAGATTAATGCATCTCTCAACTCTCACCAGAGAACCTTCTTTTTGAAGCAGATAGCGATTAACATAAAGACCCACAACTCATCAGTGTGCAGAAAATGAGACTGTGGAGTGTTTGGCCCAAATGGGACACCTATATCACCTATATCTTCTCCCAAGGTTCAGAAATCGTTGCACAAGAGGTGGCAAAAAGAGATGGTGGGTGAATACAAAGAATCTGTGTTTTTTCAGACACAACAGTGAAATTGCACATATCAACCCACAGTGTTTGTGACAGCATTCACAAGCCTCGTGCAAACCACACCAGACAAAATCCCAGCATGGAGGGCAGAAGTTGCCAAGAAGCTCCAGTGCTAGCTGAGGAATTATTGGTAACTGATAGCTGCTGGGAGAGGGAGAGTCAGTTTTCTTTAAAAGTGTGATGCTGGATAGGTTGATCAGGCTCCAAGAGATGAACCCACACCAAAGAGCATTTGGGGAACATAAATTAGACTGAATAGGCTTTGAAAAACTAGAGGACATGAAATGAGTGAGGGTACGAAAGTGGGGGTGAATCTGAGAGGAGATGGGGGAGGGGTCTGAATATAATCAAAATACATTGTATGAAATTCTCAAAGAATCAATAAAACATTATTAAAAAACTACCATATCTAACAAGAGCCTCAGATGATTAGATCTGAGTGTAAGGGAAAAGGAGTACTTACAAATAACTTAGAAGTTGGGGCTGGAGAGATGGCTCAGCGGTTAAGAGCACTAACTGCTCTTGCAGAGGACAAGGGCTCGATTCCCAGCACCCACATGGCAGCTACAAACCGTCCTTAACTCCAGTTCCAGGGGAATCCAAAGCCCTCTTCTGACCTCCGTGGCATTGCACGACACAGGTGCACTCACATACATGCAGGCAATACACTCATACACATAAAATAAAAACAATACATAAAATATTAAAAAAAACCCAAAAAAACAACTTAGAAGTTTGAGGTCTAAATATGTGAAAAGAAGGAATGGTCGTTAATAATGTGATTGATGTTGATGAGACTAATCCAGTGAACAGGGAGAAATTGGTGGTGTAAGAGAGAAAAGGAAGAATTGGTGGAGAAATGGTTTTATGAGAAGCGAAAGAGTGATACAAAGTGCAAAACTTGTATGATGAGCATAAATGGTCTGTCTATTTTCATTTGTGTGAGGTAAAGTAAGTAGGTACAGATGTCAGTAAATATGTTGGCAGTTGGTGGAGGTTCATTGCACTAGTCAGCTAAGAGTGAAAATACAGAGAAAAACACTGGAAATATGAGGGGAAAGTAGAAAATGTAACATAGAAGTGAAGAAGGAGTAGGAAAGCCAGTGGATCAGGGAAACCCCATATGGCTGCTGTGTAGCAATGAGGGTCATGAGCTGGAAAGCCAGGTGGAAAAGTGAAAGCAATAAACTGGCTCTACGCTTCCTCTAGGACCTGCATTATGCAACTGTTGCTCAATTCTGCCACTTCACTGTCCCCTACCTTGAATTTCTCACTGTACTCCCACTATGCTAACCCATTTTGTGTCTCAAAAATGTTAAACTTGCCCCGTTCTCAGTGATTAGTGCTTGTGTATGGAATTTCACTCTGTCTGGGAGTGTCCTTTCAGAGCTCCATCCGTTGACTTCATTATTATTTAGGACTCAATTCCTCCAAAGGAATTTCTCTGACTACCACAGCTAAAGCAATCCCTGGACATTCTATCATATTTTATTCTATCTTCTGAACCACACCATTGAAATTCTCTTTATACTTTATCTTTTTTGCATGTGTGTATATATGTGTACTTGTGTGTGTGTGTATGTGTGTGTGTGTGCATGCGTGTGTGTGCACATGTAAGTGGAGGCCAGGGATCAACCTTAGATGTCATTCCTGAGGAGCCACCTACCTTGTTTTTTGAGATAGGTTCTGTCACGGAACCTGTAGCTCACCAATTAGGCTAGGTTTATTGGTCATTGAGCCCAAGGGATCCGCCTATCTGTGCCTTTCTAGCACTACAACTACAAGTGCACACCATGACGCTTGTGTTTTTTTTTTTTTTAAAAAAAAAACATTGTTATATTCTAAATTATGTATGTGTGTGTCTCTGTATGTGTATGTGTATGTGATTGCAGGTGACCACAGAGGTGAGAAGAGCATATTGGATCCCTGGAGTTACAGGTGGTTGTAAGTGTCCCAACCCGAGTGCTGTGAACCAAACCCACGTCCTCTGCAATAAACATTGACCTCAGGTCCTATGGTTGCAAGGCAAGTACTTTACTGACCAACTCATCTCCCTAGTCCTCTCTTAATAATTTTTCTACTAATTTGTTGTTCCTTCTCCCCAAGAGAAGGAAAGCTCCTTATCTTACATGCTGCACTGCAGTACCTGAAACAGTTATCTGCAATATAGTAGGTACTGCATCATACCAGTTGACTGATTTTTCTTATGATTTTCCCTTAAAATTGTCTGTACTTTCTTTCCTCAGACTCAATCTCCTTTGGCTCTCCTAGAATCAAACCATGCATTTCCCTCTGGATTTTCCATATGTGAGAACAACACTACCTACACCCTCAACTTCTTTACTACACATTTGGCGTCTTTCTCTTTCAGGGATCTTTCATGACAAGACTCCTGTTGCAACTCATAGGGCTGATAGATGAGGTTAACTTCTTAAAAACTATGGAAATGTTTTAATGTGTAACATCAGGCAAAATTACTTATTGTAAAGTCCTAGTAAAATCAAAGGCCACAATAGCAGGGAAAAGAAATAACCAATGTCACATACCTATTTCTTAGAATATGAGAAGATACACTCATCCCATAGTCCCAGAGGCGCTCCACAGCTGCAATAAAATAGTGCCGGGTTTTCTGCTGAAAGCTGCGGGGATCCTGATTTTCATCCTCACCATAAATGTCAAAATCTTCTCTGTTTGTTTCAACTGCAATGGCATCATCATAAGTTGCTTCTTGCTCTGACTGTAGAGCAGTAAGGGTTATTTCCCTTTGATGGCGTTTCAAGACCAGTGGATTTTGAGAGCACAACTTCTGAGTCCCTCCTTGCTTTACCCAAGTGGCTTCTCTTTGGGGCCAGTTTTGTTTTTCATTTGTCACTGTTGAGCGATTGTTTTCACAAGGGTTCAGAGACAAAATGATGTCCTTTGTCTTAATGGATGCAATTTCTGGTGATTTCTCTTTGAATTGCCGTTCTCTTTTTCCTGTCTGTATAGCATGATGGCTATCCCAAGAAAAATGATTCAGCAGTTTGGAGGCAGTCTTTTCAGAGCTTTCAGTTGCCCCTTGAAGAAAGGACACTTTTCCAGGTCTGTTTGATTTACTCGATTTAATAGCACCCTCTGTTTTTTGAAGAAGGGTCTTTTCCATGACATCTAGGTGGCCAGGAGATTCATGGCTAGCTTCTGTAGGTAAAAGTTCTTCTTCATGAATGGGAACTTGAGGAAGCAATTCAACTTTGTCAGACGCTTCAGGAAAGACTGGTTTTAAGAGAACAGTGTTCTCAAGGTTTTTAGATGTGGTTGAGTTTGAGTCACTTGCCCCCAGGGAGTCAAACTTCCTTTGATTTCTGATCATTTCCCATGGTAGGATGGCTAAAGAAAGGTTATTTTGGGGGGCTCCTTTTAAGAAATGACTGCTTTCTTGAACTCTAGAACTATTTGTCTTAAAGGAATAACTATGGGATGATGTCAGAGCATGAAGAAAGTTGTTATGGGATGGGATCCTTATGAGATCTGTAGGTGGTGATGTAGAACTATTAGTCTGAGTGGTGGTTTTCCTCATAGGAGAATCTGATGAGGGAGACTGAGTTGAGGTATTATCCACAATTTGCCACATTTCAAGCTCTGTTTCATCTATTTGGAGTCTGAATTGTTCCAAAGTCCGTTTACTACGTTTAGCAATAACATTCTTCTGACTTGGGTAGTTCTCTGCCCTTTCCTCGGTCTGATTTACCACAACTTCTGAATTTGTTTCCTGTTCCTCCTTTGTTTTTAAGAAATGGGTCATGTGAATCTGTACTGTATTTGTTGAGTTGTTTATTGATCTGAAGTCTTGAAGTATTGGTGCATATGCCTCTTCATCTAAACTCTTATTTTGCCTAGTGCTTAGTAAGAAAAGGTCTTTCAGGAAATTCTTAGAGCCGGTTGCTGTATACAACTGAGGCAGAACTACTTTATCTTGGATTGATGCTTTGTTCTTTTGTGTTTCTTCCTTAATATTTTTTTCTTGATTGTGTATCTTATTTTCTTGTACATTAGCCAAAGTAGCATGAAATATGCTTCTGTTTCTTGGAAAAACTGTGTCTTGGAGTCCTGTATCCTTTGTGAATCCATCTTGTTCTTCACCCACTTTATTCTTCCCTGACAAGAACTTCTGATTTTTCCCAGACTTTTCCAATCCTAAAGATACTAATTGCTTTGGACTAGGCTCTTGTCCAGAATTCCAGTTCTTTCCATGGGCACTTTTCATCAAAATTTCTGATTCTGGCAAGAAAACTACCTTGAAGAATGGCATATCTATACTTTCTGCATCTTGTAGCACAGAACTTTCATTTTTTTTATGAATTATTTCTTTATTTTTTGATGAGGCAGTTTTATTTAACTCATGGTTCAGCCTCAAAACTGTAGTATTTTTGCCTGTAAGTGTTTCATTCTTAATCAAAGATGCTATTTCTTGAATCTCAGTATTGATTTTTAATACAGTATCTAGCAAAAATGATGTACCATTCTCAGTCATTGTTGGACTATCAATGTGGGGTTTCCCATTAGTTGTGGAATCATTATATACCCTATTTGTTTTTATCAAAGGGATATTATCTTTGAATAAAGAATTATCTTTGGTCAACAAGGCAAATCCATGAAGCCTCTTCTCTATGAGTAATGTGTCATTCTTCACGGATGATACATTATTTCCTGGTGAACTTTCTTGACTATTTACTAAAGCTGCATCTAACAACTTGGAATCATTATTTCTTTCACTAATGTTTAGAGGTACATGAGATTCAATAAGGGGATATGTGTTTTCATCAAATGTACTAGTGTTCAATTCATTACCAAAGTGAACTGGCATATTTGGGGATCCTGAGGAACCTCTCTTTTCAAAACTTGCTGTCAAATTGTCTGATAGAATTGTTGCAGTCATATTATTTGGCAAACTAGAAACTTTCAAATCAAGTTTCTTCAATTCTGCTGCTATAGCTGTCCCCAAATTCTCATTTGGTCTTAATTGGAGGCCTGGCTCAGGAGTAAATACTATACTCTCAATGTGATGGGGTTCTGACTCAAGTTGTGCCACTTTAGCTAGGCCTTCATTGCTGTCAATTGCACCAGGTGAATAATAATCAGGAATAGCCTCATATATGGCTTCTTGGCCATCTGGTGAGGATAACCCATGTGGAGTAGGATGACTCTGTCCCAAAAGCATCAACAAGCCACTAGGAGAGACACTTTGTACTTTAAGCACTTCTGATCTCTCTCCAAACTGATGCTCAATCTTCTGTACATCATTTTCTGGAATTGTGGTGGCTCTGGATTTCGTTTGCCTACTGTTAGGGTGCTTTGAATTCTTGGAGAAGCTTCTGGAATCAATGAAACTGTTGTCATTCACCAAGTATGTTGGAATATTTTCATATATTTCTTCATAATAATCACTAGTACTCTCGTCACAACTAGAAACTTTCAGTAAGGCTGACATGCCTCTGTTCCGAAAGTCTGAATTATGGCACCCCAGGACCCATAGACCTGAAAATAAGAATGAATAAGACTCTGGTTATTCATAACCAAAGTTACAAGTAAGTTATATATTAGAGGTTCTCTCTTAGTCCTAGACAAAAAATGCTAGCCAAGGCTATTACATCATGAGTCATTTGGTCAAATCATTGACACATGGAACAGTTCAACGATGGTGATAAAAGTCATTACTGCATTGCTACTATTGGGTTTTGCATGTTTCTGATCATAAGAAAGGGATACAAGGCCAGCAAGATGCCTCAGTGTGTAAAGCCACTTGCCTCCAAGCCTGATCACCTGAGTTTGATACTTGGAACCCTTGTGGTAGGAGGAGGAAACCGACTTCTGCAAGTTGTCCTCTGACCTCTACACTCGTGCCAAAGCATGTATATCTACACACACACACACACACACACACACACACACACACAGAATATCAAAAGAGGAACAACACCCCTAAAACCTTCCTCTCTTGCTAACTCATAAAAACTTTGTTTTTAAGATCTGAAATATAATAAAACATTTTCCAATGCTCAATGACACAAAATTTATATATCTATCTCTAATGCAGAAATTCTCAGGAAGTGGTTATAGAATTTTTACACTCAAATAAATCATAGGAACCAGAAAGCAGGAATTTATTCTGAGTTGGATAAAAACCCCAAACTGATTAAGTCAACCTCAGGTCTAGAATTAACCAGGCCAGAGTCAAACACATTTGGACCATACCATTATGCTCCTATGCTCTAAAATTCATGTTAGATCATGGAGTCAAGAGACTAGTCTACATACTTTGTCTATTTAATTGACTTTTTCATTAAAGAATATATCACTATTTAAAAAAATATTTTTTAAAATTTTATGTGTATGAGTGTTTTTCCTGCATGTATGTAAGTGCACCACATGTGCATAATTGCCTGTGGAGGCTAGAAGAGGGCATCAGATCTCCTGGAACTGGAGTTAGGGATGGTAGCCTCCATGTGGGTGCTGAGATCAAAACCCTGGTTCTCTGGAAGAATAGCAAGTACCCTTAACCCCTGAGCCATCTCTCCAACCCAAAGAATCTATTATTTTTAAAAATCTTTTTGTGAGATGGAGAAGGGAGGTTAGACAGGGAGAGAGAGAGGAGAGATAAAACTTAGGTGGCATAAAAAGCTAGAGGGAAATGTATTAACTCACCCCCCTGAAAAATACACATACAATATCTGAACATGAGTGCATAAGTTTACCTGATGGCTATATAACAAGAAACACAGTGCCAGACAGGAGGAACCTCCCTTTGAGTTGTTGGTCAGGGTAGTCCAAAAAAACTCCCAAAATAACACAGGCTATTTCCATAGCCCTTGATGTCCTCCCAGAACTTGAAGGTAAGACCCTATTGCTGAAGACAGGACATACTTCAGACACAGGACTTAGAGCAATGGAGCTGGAACTGACCTGGCAGCCTTCTACCTGAAGACTAGCTCTCACGGTTCTAGAGGATACTATGCAAGCTGCTAAGGGAGAAAATCAAACAATGGTCCAACCCAGCTCCAAAGCATAATAACCACAGCAGCTGGCAGAACAAATTATCTCTATTGGTACAGAAGTGACACTTTTATCTAGACAGTAATCAATAGCTATCTAATTGGATGTAAAGCCCTCTCAATGGGAGGGAACTCATGGGTGGCACTGTAAAACGTAGCCAAATACACATGGCTGGAGAGGTCATAGATCCTAGAGAAAACCCTATCTCTGTCATATCTCTAGACAAATGAAATTTCTTCACATGCGCTAAATATGAATTCTTATATTTACAGACAAGTATACTGTACACCACTCCCCAAAGAAGCTTCTTTTTGCAATAGATGGAGCCTATTACAGAGTTCCACAACTGGTCACACATAGAGAATATATGTCTGAGAGATGCTGAGCCTTAAGTGACATCCTACAGTGAAACTTCTATACCTAAGGCTCGTGGAATTTAGTGGAACAGGGGGTAGATAGAATACTTATACATCTCTCAACTCTTACCAGCGAAGCTTCCTCACACAGCAAAGTGCAATGCAGACAGAAGGCCACAAGTGGCTACGTTTTAGAGAACAAGAGATCGCAGAGTGAATGTGCCTGGATAGAACTATATTAAACCTCACCCACCCATGGCTCAGGATTGCAGAAGAGGGGCTGGAAAGATTGTAAAAGCCAGGGTTGGTGCATGAACATAAGGAAACAGAGGCTTCCAGGTCACTCGGAACTTCTTCATATGAACTTGCAACAATGGTGACAGCATGCACAAGACCCATGCAGACTCAATTAGGCAAAAACCCAGCACAGAATGAGGAAATGGGCAGCAAGCCCCAACCCTAGCTAAAGAACTATTGACAACTGATTACTGCTGGGTGAGGGAGAGTAGATTTTTAAGAAAGTGACTCTAGATAGGCTGACTAGACTCCAGTGAATGAACTTGCACTGAAGGACAGCTGGGTACAAATTCTTGACTGAATAAGACTTAACGTATATGACAGAATGCATGAAATCCAGTGGGAGGTTATGGGAGGGTGTGGATGGGGGAGGGGGTCTAAATTTGATTAAGATCTATTATCTGAAATGCACGAAAACTCAATAAAAATATTTTAAAAATCTTTTTGTATGTATGTGAGCATGAGTCTAGCACGGTGTGTGTGTGTGTGTGTGTGTGTGTGTGTGTGTGTGTGTGTGTGCGCGCGCGTGCGTGCATGTGTGTGTGTGTAAGTCAGAGGACAGTCTCTCATGGTGATACTGGCCTTGTCTTTCACCTTGTTTGAAACAGGGTCTCTTTGTTGTTATTGCATATGCCAGGCTAGCTGGCCTGTAAACTTCTGGGGATCCTCCTGTCTCTGGTTCTCATCTTGCTATAGGAGCACTGGAATTATAGACACATGTTAACATGCCTGGTTTTTTATGTGGGTTCTGGAGATCCAAACTCAGATCTTCATGCTGCATGGCAAGTACTTTACCCACTGCTCCATCACCCCAGTACAAAGAATATATTTTGAAGCTATTTGGTTAGATGTAAGATTAATTATAATGATTTTTATTTGTTTAGTCACATTTGTAATGCAAGAAGATGATCTCATTACAAAATTTCACCCAATGTAGTTTAAACACTAATCTCTCTCTCTCTCTCTCTCTCTCTCTCTCTCTCTCTCTCTCTCTCTGTCTCCAAGGTCTCACTATGTAGCTCCAATTGGCCTGGAACTCACTATGTATTCTAGGTCAGCCCAGCCTCTTGAACACACAGAGATCGGCCTACCTCTGCCTCCCATGTGCTAGGATTAAAGGCATGTCACCACACCTGGTCCAGCCCTTAACTAAAGTATCTCTGCATTGGCATTCCAAATCCATGAAAACCCTGCAACTTGCATGTTTGTAACCTCAGAGGGTTGGGGTGCAGAGACAAGTTGACCCTCAGAGCTCATTGTCCAGCTCTCCTAGTCAGTCACTGAACTTCATCCAGGTTCAGTGTGAGACTCTGTCTCAAAAAAGAAGGTGGAAAAGTTAAACCAAAAGATGAACAGTTTAAACAGGTCCATAGCAAATATGGAAATCAAAATAGTAATACAAAGCTTCCCAACTAAAAAAAGCCCAGGCTCAGATGGATTCATAGCAGAATTTTACCAGACCTTCAAAGATCTACAACCAATACAACTTAAATTATTCAAAAAAGATAGAAAAAGAGGGAGAACTCCCAAATTCCTTCTATGAAGCCAGTACTACCCAAACCAGATAAACACACAATAAAAAAGAAAACTGGAGGCCCATATCCTTAATGAACATACATGCAAAAGTTCTCAACAAAATACTCCCTAACCACATACAGACACACACATAAAAGATCATCCACCATGATCAAGTCAGCATCATTCCAGAGATTCATGGATGGTTCAATATACATGTCAATAAATACAATAAATCATATGTAAGGACTTAAAGACAAAAAATCACATGATCATCTCAATAAATGCCTGAAAGGCCTTTGAAAAAATTCCAACATGCATTTATGATAAAAGTCCCAGAGGCATATGGAAATAGAGTCCTATAAGCTTCTGGGACCCTGCTCATATGACTCTACAGCAATTGTGTCAGCATGCACAAGTCCCATGCAAACCCAAGCAGACAAAAACCCATCATAGAACTGGGGAAATGGACAGCAGATCCTAATCTTAGCTGAAGAAATACTGACAACTGTTTACTCCTAGGTGAGGAAGAGCTGATCTTCCTAAAGCGAGGGACTCTAGATAAGCTGACTAGACCTCAGTAGATTAACTTGTTCTGAGGAATGCCTGGGGACACTAACTTGACACAATAAGCCTTAACACAAATGACAGAATGGATGAATTCCAGTAGGGCGATATGGGAGGGTGCCAGTGGGGACAGGAGTATAAAGATGATTAAGACTGATTGAGATGTTTCATATAAAATACACAAAAAATCAATAAAAGTGAAATTTAAAAAGTCCTAGAGGGAACTGGACTGTAGAGAACATACCCCAACACAATTAAAGCTATATACAATAAACCTACAGCCAACATCATTTTAAATGGAGAAAAACTGCAAGAATTCTCATTAAAATCAGGAGCCAGACAAAGCTGTCCACTATCTCCACTCCTTTTCAATACAGTGTTTGAAACTCTTGCTAGGGCAAAAAGAGAAGAGAAGGAAATGAAATGGAGTTAGTTGGAAAAGAAGTCAAATTATCCCTATTTTCACATATTATACACAAGAGCTCCAAAAAATTCCACCAGAACACTTCTAGAAATGATCAACACTTTCAGTAAAGTGGCCAGTTTCAAAATCAATTTATGAGAATCAGTAGCCTTTCTATATATATTAATAATAAGGAATCAGAGAAAACATTCATGGAAACACTCCCATTCACAATACCCCCAAAAAATCTAGGAATAAACCTAACTAAAGACATTAAAGACCTCTAAAATGAAATTTTTAAGTCTTTGAAGAAAGATATTAAGACACAAGGAGACAGAAAGACCTCC